GATCGTTTCGTGTCTTAGGACATCAATGTGTCGTCACGAGCCGCAGGGTTTCATTTGGATTTGTCTGTGCATGTTTTTTTTTTACTCTCATAGATTTTGTTACCATTGCCATGCATTATACGACTGATAGACTGCAACGGCTGGACTTAAAAATCATCATATGTGTTCTACTGAAGAAACAAAGTCACCTACATCTTGGATGCACTGGGGGTAAGCAGATAAACATCAAATGTTCATTTTTGGGTGAACTATCCCTTTAAGGCTTTTAAATTTGAATATAATTCGAATATTGATAATATTTAAGTACAAAATTCAAATGTAGTTTTTAGCCATTTTAACAGCCCTAGTGCGCAGGTGTGTAGTGTTTCTTTACAGTGACATCGCCATCTAGTGGCCAGGCATGCATGAAAATTGGCACATGGTTCTTAGTCATTTTCACGGATCCATGTGAATGGGGATCGTTTTTACGGCATTGCCGTCTGTACGCAAAACTTTTCAAAAACAAAAAGAAAAGCTTTTCTATTTTTTTTCACAATCATTGTTGTGTAAGCCAGTGGTTCCCAACCCTGGTCCTGGAGGCACCCCATCACTGCACATTTTGCATGTCTCCTTTCTCTGACACACCAATTTCAGGTCTTGAAGTCTCTACTAAATCTGATGATCCATGGCACTTATTGCTATGGCAATTGGTTTTGGTGCATTTGGGAATATGTGAAATTAAAAATTAAAATAGACAGAACCTTTCTGAAACCTTTCTGAAATTTCTGAAGCTGCTTCCGTTGGCGTCTGTATTACTGCATCAATGAGCCCATGGCATCATGACATCTCCACTAACATCTGTTATGTGTTAGTACAGTTTGAGCTTTCAAAACATCTTCTCCAGTCTGTTCTCTTTGTCAGGCATCTGTGCGTCAGCAAGGGAGTGACAGTTAGACCTGTTCGTCACAGGAAACTACAAGTATCTAGTAAATAAAGCTGCCTGCCTCAGTGCAATGCTAAAACACTGACACGACCACAGCAGCATCCCGCAGTGACACATCACCTGAAACTGAGCTCAACTTCTCAGCTCCTCAAGAAAACAAGCCTCTGATCTTTACAGAAATCACTCCAAATAGTTTTCTAACTTGGCTATCTGAGTTTTCAGGCTGTTGCACGTTCATAAGCAGATGTGCAGTTAAGGATTGTGCTCACGAATAAGGATTGTCATCATTGCTAGCCTGAGGACCATGAGGTGAGTAAGAGACTTTGTCCAAATTTCTCTCTTTAAGGTCTTTTTGCAGAGTGCTGTGAGCTTTTATACATTTCGGGGGGTTATCGAAAGCACCTTGCACAATATTATAATACAAACCAATGTTTAATGTTCACATGTGAATATAGATTTATAGTAATTAAAATATCATTTTTGGTTGGGATAAAGACTGGCAACAATTTTAA